CCTCCTGTCAAACCCACTGGCCTCTTCGCCGTTTTTCTTTACAGTACATTGTGCCATCTCTCCAGACCCACGTGACAATCCGCCCCCGCATTCCGCCGGATCACCCCACTCCCCGCGAAGCGCACCCCGCGCCTGCCTCCGCGCCCGCGCCAACCCCCGCTCGCCGTCCGCTCGCCGGCCGCCGCGCCGGCCCAGAACCCGCCGGGCACCTCCTTCACGGAGGGCCCCTCCACCTCCGCACATCCCGAGCCGATCGCTCCAAGCTCGGCGGCCACATCGACCTCGGCGGCCTCACCGACCGCGCCATCGCTCCAAGGCGCATCTTCACCCGCCGCATCACCGCGGGCTTCCACCATCAGCCCGTCCCCGCGCTCCACAACCGCGCCGCTACTCTCCAGCCCTTCGCGCCCCGTTTCCATGCCAAAAAACGCGCTCCCATCGCCACCGACCTCGGCGCCATTCCGCGCCATTCCGCGCCATCGAGCCCGCCCTACTCGCCTCGCCGCTCCGCCTCTCCGGCGGCAGCATGGCGCGGATGGAGGCGTCGCCCACGGGCGGCCGAACCGCCCCGCCGCTGCACCTCACAAGCGCGGCCATCCAGGCCGTGCAATGCAGCCCGTGCGGCCTCCATTGCCGCCTCCAAGCTCGCCACGCATCCGCCGCTCCCGCCGCGCGGATGGCGCAGCGCGGCGTTCGCCACCGCTCGCGGCATCCGCGCGACCCTCTCCGTCAAACGCCGCACCCTCCGCCAGGCCCGCGCGCCTCCTTCGAGCGCGGGAGTAGGCCCTCGGCGCGCCCACGGGGCAGCGCCTCGCGCCGATGCGACTGGCGTCCAGTCATTCCCCCGCCGGTCCGCCATACAGCACACCGGGACGCCAAATACACCAAGTACTAACCCCCGAAATAAAATGCAAGAATTCTAGACTACAGCACTTTTTCAGTGCTGTGCCTAAATACACCCTCGGAGAGGTGAAACAGCTCCTTCTTCAGGAGCTGATTGGCAGAGTGCAAGTCCCTTTTTCAGGGACCAAACATGCACATTTCCAACCAAATATAATACATGCTTTTTCAGCATGTTTTTCCCACAAACCAACTTTCCAAACGGTGCAGGGAATACAGTTTCTTCTCCAGAAACTGCCCTACACCATCTCATAATCTCACAGCTCCTTTTTCAGGAGCTGCTGTACCAATGCACACATCCCTTTTTCAGGGATCCAATCATGCCCCTATTGCATTCAGATGCAAAACATGCTTTTCCAGCATGTCCCCTCAAACAGGTTTTGAACTTCAGTTTCTTATTCAGAAACTGATCCTGCAGCTCTCCACAGTCTCAAAACTCCTTTTTCAGGAGCAGCACCGCTTTTTCAGCGGTAAACACTCAAACATGTTGTCCACTTTCAAGGACAACACCACTTCTCCAGTGGCAGTCAGAAACAACCACTTTTTCAGTGGTATACATTCACCATTCCCGTCAAATTTCACAGGCTGCATCACTTTTTCAGTGGCAACCACGCATAACCACTTTTCCAGCGGTATGTACCAATCAAGGCTGCACTACTTGTATCATTGGCAGCACCACTTTTACAGTGGCAAGTAAATTTCGGCCACTTTCTCAGTGGCAAACATCATTTTGCATCAGGTCATGCACACCAAAAGGATGCACGAGCTGGAAAGTAGCATCAGCTCAGTGCCATGCTGGGGAAAGAGACATCCCAGCATGTTCCTTGAGGCATACGCCTGTAAATCGAGCGGCTGGGGGCACAGCCCCACAAACACACACTTGAGTGGCCCCATGGCTGGAAAGAATCATCAGCCACTAGGGCACCCTCTCATGCGCAGCCAGCTCAATCATGGGCACTCTGATCGATCCAAAACTCCTTGTTCAGGAGTCTTTCCTTTTCTTTGCCACTTATCCAGTGGCTTTTTCACATTTTTCCGATCTTGTCACTTATTCAGCGACATTCAGAGCACCAGAATAAGACCAGCGTCTGGGGCAACCGAAGGGCAGGCAGGCTGGGCAACACACCAGCACATCCCCATGTTGAGGCAAGACACATCTCAACATGTTTCTTGGGGCCCAAACGACTGAAGAATACGGTCCAGAGCACAGCTCTAGGACCATTAGTTCAGACCCTACCCATAGCTGGAAAGAGACATCAGCATATGGGGATTGGATCTGTCCCAAAATGATGTGATGAAACGGCCGGCGGCACAGCCAGCCCGTACATTTTCTCCACAACAATATTTCAGCTGTGGGTGATGGATGAACAAGTAAACACATGCAGCCCTTGCATGGGGTAGTCCACCCTGGAAAGAACCATCAGGTGTGGGCCCACACTTTTGGTCGTGCATGGTTTCTTTCTAGCCTTCTTCAGGCCAGCCACCCCTTAGCCTTGCGCAATCGGCTTCGAGGCTGGACACACGCCCAAACTGGGCGGTATCCTTATTCAGGACACATAGCCCCACCAGATATTGAGAGCCGCGGTCAATACCGGTGAGGCAGCTTTCACGGAAATACTCTTGCAGCGTAGGGTATCGCTCAGTCGTCACCAAGCGCCCCTTGAGGCAATACTCCTCTCAACTTTCATGACCAGCTTGCCATACTACAAAAAACGCAAGCTCTTGACCAGTTTTTTGTTTTTGTTTTCGCCTTTTTCTCTTTCTAGCCGGTGGTGGCATACTCGGGCCATCCCACACAGTCAGCATGCGTGTCAGACGTGAGTCCCTCGCCAGCTGAATCATAAGTGACTCACCCAGTGAAACGGTGGTCATTATGCAGCTGCGCGAACAAGCTGATAATCCCGCTAACACTCTTGATTCTTTGTCAAATAAAAAACTAAAAACACCATTCGATTGCAAATCTAATTTCTGATCGACTGATATCGTTCTTATCCCTTAATGACCCCTCTTATCCTATAATGACAGTCCAGAAAGCGTGCACCCCAACTGGCCCTTTTCCGTGTGGCTCACGGCGTGGTAACATACATGCCAAAATGATGGCGCCCGATTCCGCCCGATCCTGCCAGCGATATCTCGATTCCTCATCACGCCGCGCCCGCATCCGCTCCCCCATTGAGTCAGCCCCGGGGACCATCCGCCAGGCCGCGGAGCCTGCCATCCCCGCTACCCCCGCGCAGCCCCGCCCAGGGTTCCGGGCCGATGCGTTTCACTCACAGAGGCTACGCTGCAAACCTCCGCTGGTCAGATCGGCGTGGAGTCCCTGCCCCGTGATTCCACCTGCTCAGATTGATGCGGTCAGCCTTACGCGCTGCTCGCGCCCACCCGGACCATCGAGACCCAGTCGCTCGGGTCCGGGGCATTCGGAGCAGGGGCTCAGGAACGTCAAGCCCTCCGCCCGAAAACGTAGCGGGAAGACTGAAAGGCCTTGGGGAGGCGGTAATTTTCCCCTGGCGGAAGGGGGCTATCCCCACACGGGGACGAGCAGCCGCCGTGCGGCTGCACCTCTCCATCGCCGGCCCATGGATGTCCACGGAGCCGCCCGACACAGCGATGGGCATTGCTCCAGTTTCTCACCGCAGGGTCCTCCCCTGCCCGTCCCTGAATGAGTTGCGTGGGTCACCTGTCAGTGGGCATGCGTTGCGTGGCGTTGGGGGCCCCCGCTGTCCCTGGGGGTGGCGCGGAGCCCCGGCGGCTCGCGTGGCTTCGGATGTGCTTCCCTGGCTGCGTTGCTTAGTTGGACGGGTTACGAGAGCGTATCGCTCCGACTGTCATTGAACCTCAGTCCTGTCGCCGTAGCCTGGGCTGTCGATACCGACCCCTTGTGCATACGATTCCTTCCTGACTGGTCATGGCTCCCCCGTACTGGAGTCCCATGCCGCAGAACTCTGGGCCTCACGGGGCACCAGCTTGTCGCAACTGAGTGGCGCACAATGGAGCCATAATGGGCTCATTATTGGCGACCCGAGCAGTCCTATAATAGAGCCGTGGCCGCTGTGGGGCACACATCCTACCATTCGTTCATGTTTGCGTTTTGGTGATGCTGTGCTGGTTGCCGTTGGGTGCCGTGAGGCGATCGGCCGCGTCGTGGGGGACCTTGTTGGGTGGCAGACATTCTGGGCCAACGTCACCAGCTGTGCTTGTATGATTGACTAGAGAGTCTCCAGAATGTGAACCTTTTCCCCATTCATGGATGCCAGCTGCTGGTCCAGCATTTGAATGGTGTTCATTTGGACAAGTCGGTGACTTGTTTGGACCCCTTCAAGCCAGTAATTTTGGTTTCGAGATTTTTCGTCGATCACCTGTGCGATTCCAATATATTGTCCCCACCCCACCCCCAACCCCCCACCCTTGCAATGCGTTTATGCGCTTGGGCGCATGGTGGTGAAGGCTTGAAGATTGGCATCAGCGTGCGTTCTGAACCATTTACGACTGGAGAGTAAAGCACACGGGGATGTCTCAGTGGTGAGCTTGAAACGATGCCTTGAATAGCTTAAATACGTCCCATTGGGTGTAAAGGCGGAGCGCGAGACGACCCATGCCGTATTGCCACCGCCTGCATTCATTTCAAGTATTTGACAAGATGGCTCAATCATGGTGAATCCATTAAAATGTATGCAACCCGTAAGGAGAGACAACATGCCACCCTTTCAAAATACCCATTTCTCCCATTAGAGGCAACGCACAACAATCCTCGCAAAATAATTGATGAAAAGTCACCTTCAGTCCTCCAAAACCAGATGTCTGCCAAGCCGGTGGAATCAATTGCAACTCATATGTTCCTTTTATTCACATCTCCGCCGAACGTCCCATCGATCCCTTGTGAGGACACAAGACCATCCTGCAATTTGTGCAGTCCCGAACGCCAACAAAAAAGAATCAACAATGATGAACACAATCGTTAACCTCAAAAAATCCGACGAGCAAGCCCGTCCACCTACAGGTCTCACTTGTTGCCAACCCCACCCAATAAGTGGAAAGGCACTTACTTATCCCATTTCCGTGATTGCAACCTCACTCGTTAAATTATCAACACGGCACCTTCAGCCCTGCTCCCGGGCATCTTCCATGCCGTCTGGCTCCCCGCCCAGCAGCTGAGTGGCCAGGCTCGACGTCAGGATCAGCCCTGCGCCCAACCAGCCCATCGGGCCCCATCGCTCGCCCAGAAAGAAGTACGCCAGAATGGACCCAAGCACGGGCTCCATTGTGTAGATGATCGCGGCATCCGTGCTGGGCACATTGTGCAGCGCCATCATCTCAATCACCAGCACCAGGTCTGTGGACAGCAAGCCTGTGTACAGGAGCTCCTTCATGGGGATATGGAAGGTGGTCATCCAAGATGTGGGCATGAGGAGGGAGTGCAGGGTGGCGGCCACCTGTGTGGGGTGTGTTCCCGCCGCAAGGACACTGCCCAGCACTGCTGTTGTCACCACTGATGTCGCCAGCATGGGCATCATCGTCGATCGGGGCAGCTTGCGGCAGTAGTACTCAGTTCGAAAGATCTAGATGCCATGATTGGGACGTCAGAAAAGGGGGCATTGTTGTTTGAGACGTGATACTTTCCACATTTGATCCAGGTTGCAAACATGTGTGTGGCCCAAAGACTTGCCCATAGAAAATGAGCCGATGCAAGCAAACCCACTGGTATTGGTGAAGCAGGCACTGTTCATCAATGCCGGGGCTGTCTCATGAACATATGATTTTTGTCCACAGGGCACAAGCAAAGCTGCAAAGCAATATCAAGACCTGCGCGATGTTCAGCAAAAGAATCCTTCCATGGGACCCAGAGGGGCAGAACCCGCCGGTGGCACATGCTGCACACATGTAGCCTCACCTGCAAGGCAAAGAAAGCTGCGCTCATCAGGTTGTACAGATCGCCAATCGACGCTTTCGTTCCCCCGTTTTCCAGCAGCCAAGTCCCTGTCAGAGCAAGCCCCGCTGCCCCCAATGTCGTCTTCGAGATGCCCCGGCCAGTGATGCCGGCCAGGATAGGCACCAAGATCACTGTGAATGTGCTCAAGAAGGACGCCCTGGACGCGTCCGTGCTCATCAAACCCACAGCCTGCAATATGTACCCACATGCAGTCCAAAGGCCAACCTCCAAGCCCGCCTTCAGCACCTTACTGTCCTGACACGCGTCCTTGATAAATGGGAAAAAGGCCACGGCAGCGACGGAGAACCG